ATTTGTTAATATCCTCTGCTTTTTCTTTTCTTAGGGTTTCATAATTTTCTTTATATAGGTCCTTCACCTCTTTTGTTAGGTATATTCCTAGGTATTTCATTTCTTTAGGGCTATGGTGAAGGGAGTTGTGTCCTTAATTAGCCTCTCATCTTGGCTGTTATTGGCATGTACAAAGGCTACTGACTTGTGAACATTGATTTTATATCCTGAGACAATACTTTATTTTTTGATGATTTCCAGGAGTCTTGTGGTTGAGTCTTTGGGGTTCTCTAGGTATAAGACCATATTGTCAGCAAAGAGGGAGAGTTTGACCCTCTCTGCTCCCATTTGGATGCCCTTTATTTCCTTTTTTTGCCTGATTGTATTGGTTAGAACTTCCAGCACCACATTGAATAGTAATGGTGATAGAGGACAACCTTGTCTGGTTCCAGTTCTAAGTGGGAAAGTTTTCAGTTTTACTCCACTCAGTAAAATATTAGCTGTGGGTTTGTCATAGATAGCTTTGATCAGTTTAAGAAATGTGCCACTTATGCCTATACTCTTCAGTGTTCTAATTAGAAAAGGATGCTGGATTTTATTGAATGCTTTTTCTGTATCTATTGAGAGGATCATATGGTCTTTGTTTTTGGTTCTGTTGATATGGTGAATAACGTTTATGGACTGTGTATGTTAAACCAGCCTTGCATCCCTGGCTTGAAACCATGGTGTAGGACTTTTTTGATGATAAGCTGTAATCTATCAGCTAGGATTTTGTTGAGAATTTTTCCATCTATATTCATTAGTGAAATTGGTGTGAAGTTCTCCTTTTTTGTTGGGTCTTTTCCAGGTTTTGGTATCAGGGTGACATTTGCTTTGTAGAACATGTTGTGGAAGATTCTTTCCTCCTAAATTTTTTGGAATAATTTCTGCAATATGGGAATAAGCTCTTCTTTGATGGTTTGATAGAATTCTGGTGTGAAGCCATCTGGACCAGGGCATTTTTTGTTGGAAGATTTTTTATTGTTTCTTTGATTTCTGTGCTTGAAATTGGCCTGTTTAGGAGATCTATATCTACATGTTACTGGCTAAGTCTACGGAGAGGGTGTGATTCCAAATATTGATCCATTTCCTTCACATTGTCAAATTTCTGGGTAGTATTCAGAGATAATTGCTTATATCTCTGTGGCATCAGTTGTTATTTCCCCCTTATCATTTCTGATTGAGGTTACTAGAGATTTTACTTTTCTATTCCTAGTCTGGCCAAAAGTTTATCAATTTTATTTGTTTTTTAAAAAAACCAATTCCTTTTTTCATTAATTTTCTGAATGATTCTTTTGTTTTCGATTTCATTCTCTGATTTAATTTTGAATACTAAACTCTGCTGAGTTTAGGCTTTGTTCTTCTTTTTCCAATTCCATAGGATGGCTCGTGAGTTTGTTGATGTGCTCTCTTTTCCTTTTTCAGATGCATGCATCTAAAGCAATACATTTTCCTTTCAGGATGGCTTTTGCTATAATCCACAGGTTTTGGTAGCTTGTGTCTTCATTGTTGTTATGCTCAAGGAACTTAATAATTTCCTCTTTTATTTCTTCCTGTACTCAACTGTCATTCTGCATCATTGTTTAAATTCCATGACTGTGTGCAGGGCTGAATATTTTTGTTGGAGTTAAATTCCACCTTTAATGCCTTGTAGTTTGAGAAGATACAAGGTAAAATTTCAATTCTTTTGATTTTGTTGAGGTTTGTTTTGTGTCCTAGGATATGATCAATTTTGGAGAGTGTTCCATGGGTTGATGAAAAGAATGTATATTCTTTAACTTTGGGATGGAGTGTTCTATATACATCTATCAAACACAGCTCTAGGGTCTCGTTTAAGTTCCTTATATGTTTGTTTAATTTTTATTTAGAGGATCTGTCCAGTTCTGTAAGAGGTGTGTTAGAGTCCCCTGTTATTGTGATATTATAGGATATCATATTGTTCAGACAAATTAAGGTCTGTTTTAAGAATCTGGGAGCATTTAAGTTGGGTGCATAAATATTCATATTGAGATGTCTTCTTGTTGTATTTTTCCCTTGACCAATATGAAGTCACAATCTTTGTCTTTTTTATTTTAGTTGCTTTAAATCTACATGTGTCTGAAAATAAGACAGCAACTCTTCTTTTCTTCTGAATTCTGTTCCCTGAAAAATTGACTTCCAACCCTTAACTCTGAGTTTTAGTTTGTCTTCTGAGGCTAGGTGTGTTTCCTGTACTCAGCAAATGGATGACTTGTGTTTTTTAATCCAATCAGCAAATCTATGCCTCTTCAGTGGGGAATTCAAGACATAAACAATTATTGAGATAATTGACAAGTGTGGTAGTGTTCTATTCATCTTATTTTGTGAAAGTTCATTGCTTAGTTATATCTTTTGCATCATTGTGGAAGCTAGGTTCTGTCTTTTAATTTCTGAGTGCTTGGTTTGTTTTTGGTCCATTGCGATGGTCAGTGTGTAGAACAGGTTAAAGTATTTCCTTATTGTGGTGAATTTTCTCAATGTTTGCATATCATGAAAAGATTTTATTTCTCCATCAATTTTAAAGCTTAGCTTAGTGGGATAAAGAATTCTGGGCTGGAAATTGTTCTGTTTAAGTAGATTAAAGGTAGATAACCATTGTCTTCTAGCTTGAAAAGTTTCATTAGAGAAGTCTGCAGTCACCCTGATGGATTTGCCCCTATAGTTCAATTTGTGCTCACTCCTGGCAGCTTGCAGTCCTTTCCTGTTTGCAATCTTGCTGTTGTTGATACAGCAGTGGCAGCATAACCCTAATGCAACCACTTGCCTGGTCTCCACTGCTTTTGTCCTCCTCCTGGGGTCCAGAAGTCTATCAATGTCTTCCTGTGTTCCCAAAGGGATGTTTCTGGGCAGAGCCCACAAGCCAGAGAGGCCTGAGGTCTTCTCTCCCCAGTCTCACTGTGCCAGGTTGCAAAGAAGCTCTTACTGGTGCCATCTAGTCCACTCCTCCCCTTTTTTTAAACTACGGCTTTTTATTTTCATGTGGATAGCTTAACAGAAGTAGGAAATAATCAGTAGCCTTTTCTCAATGTTTATTAAAAAAAAAAAGGAAAAAGGGAAAAAAGTCCACAAAACAGAAACCAAACTTTGGGCTTAAAAGAAACGTAAGTCTGTCACAGAATCCTGGTTGGAAGACACATATTTTTATGGATGAGAAACACAGTAGTAGACAGTGAAGAAGGAATAGTAGTTTGGGGGACCTGTTTCCCAAAGTGATGTGGGGGAAGTGTCACAGTGCTAGAAACAGGGTGATGGGACAGTGATCACTCCCCAGGGCCTTGGGATAGATCTTGCTGTCATACAATACTGCTAACAGAGATTGGGACAACAAAAGTAGTCAAGGCACCAACCAACATTCTTGGCTGGAGCATTCACACTGTCAGTCCAAAAGGTGTAGGCATAGGCTGTGTTGGGGTACAGGTGCTGAAAGTTGCACAGCTTGCAGCAATTCCCCAAAGCCTTGGCATTCTTATGGAGTGAAGGCAGCATACTTTTTGTTTCCCTTGGGGTTGTGAAAGTCAACTTCTTTATGAGCCACAGTGAGATCTCCACACAGCACAAGGGACTTTTTGGAAGTCAAGCCCTTTAGGAATTTGCAGAAGGCTTCATCCTAACACTGCCTGTACTTCAGTCACTCTAGCCCATGGCCTGCATTAGGCACATGGGCTGTTACCAGCACAAACTTGTCAAATTCAGCCACAATCACTCATCCTTCCTGATAATATTCCTTCCTCCTTATCAGTGCCATAAGAAGGAATAGGCACTGGTAGGAAAGTAGGCCCACACCACTGTACCTTTCCTTGTCTGAAGGAGCTGACCAGCACTGATGGGCTAATTCAGGCAGCTCTTGAAGTTCAGTGGGTAGTTTGTTCTTAGAACATTTTGTCTCTTGGAGACACAGGATATCTGGGGCTTTTTCCTTTACTCAATCTAATCCTTTCTTCTTAATCCAGGCCTGAAGCCCATCCACATTCCAAGAGCAAATCTGGAGTGTAGCAGATTTGCCACGGGGGGTGGGGGTCCTCATATAGGACAGGGCCTCCCCCTCCTGATGTTTCTTTTTCATTCATTTTTTCTTGGTCTCTGGCTCTGTCTTAGAGTCTTCCCCATCTTCTGCTACTGCTCCTTTTCCCTCATGCTTCAGCATCCCTGCCCTTGAAAACCTATACCATGTTGCTCACTGAAGCAATATTTTATCACTTCGCTAGAACACAAATAATGGAGCATACTGTGCCACCATGTGGATGTCTAGCCTCACCACCAAATATTCTTAAAAGTAGGTAGCCACAGGGGTGGCGCCTGTGGCTCAAAGGAGTAGGATGCAGGCTCCATACGCTGGAGGTGGCGGATTAAAACCCAACCCTGGCTAAAAACTGCAAAAAAAAAAAAAAAAAGGTAGACACAGTAACAAATCTCAATAACTTTTGTGCCAGCTATGCATACATAATGACAATATATTAATATTTTTACTTATATATTTTAAAACTTTTAAATAAGATAATTATCTTAATTTGTAAAATTAGGATAAAGAAATATTCCAAAGCTTGCATGTTATGGTTCAGAAATTTTATTTTTTTATGGTTTAATAACTTTCATGTCAATTATTTTGGTTACATAAGTATCTACTAATACTAGCCCTCAACATCATTTCTTATATATTTCTGAGGTCATTTCCACTTTACTTTTATTTGGTGTTTACCTTTTTATGTGTTGATGTTTTAAAAGCCAGTTTCAGCAGTTCCTATTAATTACCCCCTTTATTTTTTTTTATGGTGCCAATTTTAAATACAGATTTATTTAAGACATTGCATTTTCCACTTACAATACTGTGCTTTTAAAGTGCAATGTTACTTCCTTCCCCTGTGCACATGTTCCATATTCAAGTATTGAAAATGCCCAGTAATTCACTATAGCAGCCCAACTTTAACTCTGCCACATAATATGCTACAAATTTGAATCCTTCAATGTTTTACTGTGTGGAACAATGCTACATCTACACTTGGGTTGGCTTAATTAACCTCTTCAATGGTGGGGCCGGAGGAAGCACCATCAGAAAGAGGAGCACCACCACCAGGGAAGCACCCAGGCATTCCTCCTGGCATTCCTCCTGGCATTCCGCCTGCACTCTGGTACAACTTGGTAATGATGGGGTTGCAGACTTTCTCCAGCTCCTTCTGCTGATGTTCAAATTCTTCCTTCTCTGCAGTCTGGTTCTTATCAAGCCAGTTGATAATTTCATTACACTTGTCAAGAATCTTCTGTTTGTCCTCATCATTGATCTTGCCTTGAAGTTTCTCATCTTCAACAGTTGCTTTCATGTTGAATGCATAGGACTCAAGTGAATTTTTTGATGAAATCTTGTCCCTCTGCTTCTCATCTTCAGCCTTGTACTTCTCAGCTTCCTGAACCATATGTTCAATGTCTTCCTTGCTCAAATGTCTCTTGTCGTTAGTGATGGTATTTTCTTTTCCTATACTCTTATCCACAGTAGAGACATTAAGAATGCCAATGGCATCAATATCAAAAATGATTTCAATCTGAGGAACACCACGGGGAGCAGGAGGTATGCCTGTAAGTTCAAACTTGCCAAGCAAGTTCTTATCCTTGGTCATGGCACGCTCATCTTCATAAACCTGGATGAGCACACCTGGCTGGTTGTCAGAGTAGGTAGTGAAGGTCTGTGTTTGCTTGATTGGAATGTAGTATTGTGCTTAGTGAGCACAGTCATAACTCCACCAGCAGTCTCAATACCCAGAGAAAGAGGAGTGACGTCTAATAGTAGCAAATCCTGAACATTCTCGGATTTGTCACCAGATAAGATGGCCGCTGGACAGCTGCACCATAGGCAACAGCCTCATCGGGGTTGATAATCTTATTCAGTTCTTTTCCATTGAAGAAGTCTTGGAGAAGCTTTTGAATCTTGGGGATATGGGTAGAACCACTTACTAGGACAATGTCATGAATCTGTGACTTGTCTAGTTTGGCATCTTGAAGGGCTTTCTCTACAGGGTCCAGGGTGCCATGGAACAGATCAGCATTCAATTTTTCTTTTTTTTTTTTTT